TTGAGTAAAACTTTATTTGAAAGAGACGAAAAACCACGAGGGAGCCATATTGCGTTCACACTATTGAGAAGATCAGATTTAGGCCGGTTATACGAATGACAGAGCAGCAGGAAATGCTCCGTGTCCTCTACCCCATCGTTTGCGGGACACAAAGGGTTGAATGTATCTCTAAAGTTATGTCTATATTTATGATAATTTAGTTTGCTCAGTCCTACCCGTAACTGAGTAAGAATATCTAGACCTTTTGGATCATGAATACCGTATACTAGTTAAGGAGTGGGTCGGATAAGTTTCGATAATTTTGTTTGAAAAATATTTAGTGAGGGTGATAACCTAATCTCTGGGTCAAGCGTGTTCCATTCAGAGAAAAAGTCCGGATAAAAACTGTTCTTGAATCTTGTTGTTCTTGCCCTTACCTGCCCAACTACATCTGCATTACGAAAAGAATACACAGCTTGTGGTAATTGTGGAATAGGGTATCTTGTGTAGTCAGGGGTAATATCGTTGACAATCTTGTAAAAAAGAACGAGGCGTCTGCTCCAACGTCATAGGCTTAGGGATTCCCAACCAAATTTGTCGTAAAGTTTTCACGAGATCTTCCTTTCCATGCTCCAGTCACTGCTAGTGCAGCAGAATATTGAACTGACTCAAGTTTTTCCATATGATTTTTCAGTGAGGTATCTTGACTGAAATCGCATTTTTTGGGTGGGATGTGGTAAATGACATCACCGATATCTAAGTGTGGCCGCACCAGGGGCGGATCCAGACATTCGCAACATTCGCACTGGCGAATGTCAGATTTCCACATGTCTTTTTGTAATTGTCTGTTAATACATTTTAGCATTGTGAATATTGTACTAGAAATGGCCAGATAATAAAAAAAAGGTCCACAGAATACAAGAAATAAAAGTTTTGTTTCCTGCCCTAGTTGCTATGATGTCACCTTGTTGTTTACTTTTTAGGTTTTATTCCCTCGTTTTCGTGATTTAGAGATGATATATTCGAAAGAGGGCTCCCCCTTTTACGCATAAATTCACAGAGCACCAATAAGGTTTGATGCGAATGTCGAATGGAATTATAATATATTAGGCATGCGTGCGCAAATGAAGTAGTACTGAAAAATGTATGCCAAAAATTTGTGCGAATGTCAGTCAAGCTATGTTATTTAGCCATCTGAAAACCAATAGGAAATGTATATGGGAAATTTTTTTGCGAATGTGGCGAAGGTAGATGCGAACTATGTTCGGTAGCCAGTCGAGGGAGAGAACCTTGGAAAGTGAGCAGATTGAAACCTCGTTTCCACATCAACGGCCATGAGTGTTGTTGGAAAGCTGTGAAGATATTTGCTTGCAGAAGAGCAGCAATTGTACTTCAGAGTGAGTGAAAGGAGTCAAATATAAGATGATTTTTAATTTGAATCAGCGGATTTCTTATGAAGATGTTCAAAGTTTGTCGAAGATTTTGGTTGATGGATGGAATTTGATAGATGGCAATATGCGAGGACAGTTCAGTTGGACCTAAAATTGTTGAACCAAAATTTTGCCTATGTTTTCATTTTCATGATGGAGGACGTTATTTAGACAGAGATTCAGACTCAAATAATATTTTGAAGAATACGTGATGCTTTTTAAGGTAAATAGCCATTTTTATACAGGCTGTCAATCAGAACTTTTAGGGTTCAAGTCAGGTATATCTTGATAATGATGATGTAGCATTCTGACGAATGATGCTGTTCTATAAATATCTTGATGAATTTGAATATGCTGAATTTTAGAGTTCTAGATATTTTTTTTGATAGATGTTGTTATTATCACAAACCTGTAAATAGTTTGACTGTGCTGGGGATTTGTTTTTGAATAAGATATTGCATTTTCTACGGCGTATTCTTTTCTTGTTAATTTTATGCTGTCAGTTTTGGAAAAATCTAGACTGCCATATTTGTAAATGAGAAATTGTAATAGTATTTTGATTTTATTTTTCTGGTCATGCCATAAATATGGTAACCCTTTTCATGAGTTTAACCTCTAAAACTAGTAAAATTATTTGTGGTTTCCACACTATAAGAGTATACCATTTGAAACTTTTGGTTCTGAAATACCCTTAAGATTCATTAATTTTTGTTTATGAATTTGCAAGTGACTGACAGTTTTCTTTTCTATGTTATTGTGTGTGTAAATAAATGTAAATATGGGTAGTAAATAAGTGCAATCAATGGAATGATCCTAATGGGGGAATTACTACATTATTAATAAGAAATTCACAGCAAGTTGGTTCTGCCAAGTAAATATCTTTATATAAATCCATATAGTAAAAGTTACCATGTTTGCCTTATTTCTTATGCCATTACTGACTTTGTTTGATGTACATTTAAAATTTGTATATAATATATATTTATGATGTTCTTGTTATGGAAAGACAATGAATTGTTTTAAATTCTGTTACATTTGCTGTTTTACCAACACCTGAAAATACTAAAATTGTATGATGTGTATTGACCTAACTGGTATTTTTGGCCATGTTTAAGGCACATCACACAGCAGTTTAGATAGAAAGGTGAATGCACAAAATAAATAACAGAAAAGCTCTGAGCCCCTAAGGTATTTGGTGTTGAAGTCAAACATTTGGGTGGATATTGCATTGAAAATTTCTACACTAAACACAGTATTTGATTGTTAAATAATATCATTGTATAAATAGAACTAAGATTCCTTTCTGTAAATGGCTGTTTTTTAAGTGAGTGACATAAAATGTTTTTCATGAGTTTTTCTCCCTGAGAAGGGGTGATACACACATCTAATATACCCTTATTCTAGCTCATCCTCTTTGTTCTTGACAATTTGTGGTTCTGTGCCTAGACTTGCCATTAAATCATTATTAAGAGGACATTTCAAATCTTTGCTGCTGTTTTTCCATACAAAAGCCATGTAGGAAACAAAACATGCCAACACAACAAAAACTTGATGAGTGTTTCTCAAAATTTTTCCAGAGATCTCTTTTCTTGTTCACTCAATAAGTAAAATACCAAATTGTCAATGAAATCCAGACCTGGCTGTTATTCTTAATATTTATCCTTTAATTTCTCAACCTTTGAGCCTCAACATTTTCTGTTTCCTAATCCTAAAACTTAATATAAGGAAAAATACATCTTTAAGTGGAAAACTTCGATTCTGAGACTATAGTAAAATTTGACTGATTTTTTTTGGGCGTGGTCATATAGGCGTGGTCGAAACTTTGCGAATGTCAGATTTTTTTCTGCATCCGCCCCTGGGCCGCACATACAATTTATACAAGACAATTTAGAATTGTCACGGAAACTGAGAAGAACTATTGTTTTACGTTTGATTGACAGTTAACATTTTAGGATGCTGAGTTGAATTAAGCTGCGCTTTTGTTGATTAGGGAGTAGATTTTAGCGTTGATGCTCGTATTGAGGAACGATGGGCCTAGCCAGACCCCTTTAGAAATAATTAAGACTATTATTACGCACAAGAATCAAGCATGATGCCAAGATGTCTATGTTCATTCATTTTGATGACTGGGATGTCATTGATTAGAACTGGTGGATGATCGGCTGAAATCTTCTTTATTGAAAAGTCACCTCAACTGCTTGTTTAGTTGGATCAGGATTAAAATCATACGCCAATTATGTGCCCAGCTTTTGATAATGTCAAGATCATGATTCATGTCTGAAGCAGGCTGATCAGGATTATGAACAATGGTGAAGAGTGAGGTACATTTAAAGACTCATTGCTAACAATTGGCCTTTGCGAGCGTGGTGACGGTCCAAACAACGACATTAATTTTTTACAGATAAACCAAAATTGATTTTAGACAGTCTAAAAATGCATTATGGGATGCTTACGTAGCGCAATGGCTCATTGTTAGCAACGAGTCTTTAAGATTATCCCGTCAGGTTGTTGATGTACACAAGGAAGAAAAGTGGGCCTAAGATAGAGCCTTGAGGGACGCCGGCGGTGACTGAACCCCATTCAGACGTTTTACCATTCAAAACTGTGCGCTGTTTTCGATTTGCAAGGAAGTCTTTGATGAGTGAAAGTAAGTTTCCAGAAACACTACAACGATGAAGTTTTTAAATAAGTCTATACATGCCAAACCCTATCAAATGCTTTGGATATGTCAAGATAGACGGACCGAACTAGGGATGGATTGGTTTATCGTAGAGCCATTTGGACGAAAACCCGATTGATTTGGGTTTAGTAACTAATTAGCAGTTAGATGCTCGTAAAGGGTATCATAAATCATTTTCTCAAAAATTTTCCCGAAGATTGGAAGAAGGGATATCGGGCGATAATTTTGTTTTAAATTTTTACTGTTTTTTATGGACAGGGACGATATTGGCCATTTTCCAGATTTCTGGGAAAATGCCATTTTGGATACAACTTTCAAATATCATTTTTAGTGGAGCCACCAAAACATCATCACTAATCTTTATCATACGTACTGAGATTTCATCCCAACCATTTGTCTTGTTAGGGTTTAAAGAACGAATGATTTTTAGTATTTTCTCCTCGGAGATATGGATATTGACCAATACAGGGGCATTACTTCTAGCAATGTTAGGAATTTCACTGCCTGTATCGATAGTAGTACACTAAAGAATGAAGTATTCATTAAAGATTTGTGCCTTTGTTTTAAAATCCAGGACAAAAATGTCATTTTCCAAAAGAGGTGGTATTACCGGAATGTCAGCTTTATTCAGAACTTTGTTTATTAGTGACCAATAGGTTTTTTGACCAGTATCAGCATTCGAAAGGGTCATTGACCAATTTTCATAAAATAGTTATGATTTGCGTTCTCTATTAATTTGCATCCTTGAGAAACCATGCGTTGGATTCCGATGAACTAATTGGGACTGACCATCCCATGAATCATTCTAAAAACTGTACGTAGATATTTTGTCTGCCTTGCGGAGACAATTCTCTTCGAAAACATTTGACTCGTGTAAGAGAACCCTATGACACCGTATAAAACTCCCGAATATTTCTCGGGATCCTATTTGTTTGTTGGCCCAGTGGGAAGTACGGCCCTGCTTACACGGCCATAGAAGTGCCAGTTATCCTACCTCTTTGGTATGGCCACTATTGTTTATATTTCCTCCCCCTCTCTTGTTTTAACTGACAGCAACGAATGACAGTAGCTTTTCCGATTTGATCCTCATCGCACCTCGACACGTTAAACTTTTAACGATTCATTGGCAGACTCAGACAAGTGAGAACCAAATCCCAGATTACAATGTTTCAAGGTTGGTCATGCAAATAACGAGAATGATTACCAGAAAATGAAATCATATGGACAGCAAAGGTTATTGGCTATTCCCTTGGAGCTTTCAGAATGTACTCTATCTTTTTATCTATGAATGTTTGTTTTTATACTGTCAGAAGCATTTTTATTTTTATTTTTCTGACTCAGAGCTACACTCGTTTGTGCGTTTAACCCCTGCTAGTTTCGTCGATTTTCTATCAAATCATATGGAGAAAACAGGTTTTAGGCTAGCTCTTTATAGCATTCAGAGTGTACTCTATCTTTTAATGCATGAATGTTTAACTTTATATTGTTAGGAGATTTTTATTACTTTAATTTTGCTGGTACACTCATTTGTACGTTTCGTTCCTGTTAGTTTAAAACCATATGGAGAGCAGAGATTTTTGGCTAGCTCTTTATAGCATTCAGATTGTTCTCTATCTTTCGATGTATTCATGTTTATCTTTATGGTGTCAGGAGCTTTTTAAATACTTTATTTTTTTTAAATACCCCTGCTAGTTTCGTCGACTTTCTTTAAATTTATATGGAGATCAAAGATTTTAGGATAGCCTTTCATAGCATTAAGAATATCCTCTATCTTTTATTATGAATGTTTATCTTTATATGATAAGAAGCTTTTTGATTACTTTAATTTTGCTGGCACAAAGCTAGGTTTTAGGTGGTTTCAGTTCATTTCAGATGATTTCAGGTGCCAAGAAATTTGCGCATGCTCATAGCGGAATTTCAAACGTCTTTTTTGCGTTTCTGTGAGGACGGTTATATTTTTGAAAACGCTCATGTTGTTGATGCATATTCATTTGAATTTTCAAACGGATAACAATAATTCCGTTCTTAAAAATATCCGAAACCGTGTGGCAGTGGGTCTAACGGCAAGTGATGGGTAATTCCTTACGTAGGGTCGATAAATTGAAAGTAAGAATGTTACCGACAATAATTGCACCGAAATGTCCAGTGCTCGTGGATCAAAGGATTCAGATTAAAGTGAAAAATTTGATCCCATTTCAAAGTGTAACCTTGCGAGTTGAGCTCAGTTCTGACAAATCGGAGCTTTTTGAATCATATGGACACTACATCGCAGACAGAGATGGCGAGCTGAATTTGTCACGAGATTCTTCTTTTGGAGGTACCTACAAAGGCATTGACAACATGGGTTTATTTTGGAGCATGTTAGCAGTACCAGGCCAACGAAAAGGGGCCAGGTTTATTGCAGGAGATGTCACTAAACCGATGGAATTTAGGGTTTTCTTGTTTGACAGGCACGTTATGTCTCAAGGGAATGCAGGTAACCCGAAGCAAGCCGTGGAAAAGCTTCCTGAGCCTCTAGCAAAAACGAAAATTTTACGAACATATCTGGCTGATCATGTGGAACGCAAGGAGATAAGTGTTGGCCGCATAAGGGGGACATTGTTTGCTCCTAAAGGACGCAGAAAATTACCAGGTATGTTTTCAATTTATTCTTTTGAAGTCAGGCCAATATATGCGATATTTTGACTGTTAATGCGCTGGGGTTTCTGTCAAATGCTAAGGAATATAGATTGGGTCGTCGCTAGCTTTTCTGCACATCCCGTCACATCCCATTTACCGATAAAGTACTAGAGCTATCCTTTATTTGCCGCCATATCTAAAAACTTGATGACTAGACGAAGCAAAATGGCCTAAAAGTTTTTGTTTTTACAATAAAATATTCTTCCAAGGTGGTTTCACACCCCCTCCACCATACCCCCCTTTAGCAATGGTCCTGATTATTGTTGTGGACAATGATAGACCATAACATGGAATATAATGCTCCAAAGTTCAAATCATTTTGTCATATGGGTCCGTTTTTGGATTCTTTTATTTCCTCCTAAAGCCTTTGCTAACGGTGACTAGAAGAATGCTTCGATAAATCAGCCTGAGCGTTGGCCATGGCCATAAAAACTTTAATCTTTCTCTTCCCACAACAGGTGTCATTGACATGTTTGGTGGTCATGGAGGTCTGATTGAGTCTAGGGCAGCCATTTTGGCATCTCATGGATTTGTCACGTTTGCATTGGCCTATTTTGGATACAAAGATCTGCCTAAAACCCTGAACAACATTGATTTGGAGTATTTCATCGAGGCTGTTAAATGGTTTGCAAGTCATGAAAGGGTTTATTCATCTGGCATTGGATATATAGGTTTTTCAGCTGGCGGTCAGATTGCTTTGAATGTTGGTGCAGAATGTTCTCTGGTGAGGGCCGTTGTTGGTATTTCTACGGCTGACATTTTGATAATTCCACTTAAATACAAGGGTGAAGTAAGAGGCTTAAATGGAGGATTCAAACCGGAACATGCCCATATAAATGAAAAGAATGAAGTTGTTTCTATAGACGTTGACAAACTGGACCCTGTTGAATTTCGAAACTGCAAGAATCCAATTGAAAAAGTCGAAGGGAAGATCATGCTGGTCATAGGAGATGATGACATGTGTCCTAATTTGTCTGATGGTGCAAGGAGAATGCAGAGGAGGCTAAATGAACATGGCAGAGAGTCTGCAACTATTCTTCGTTATCCAGGCACCGGGCACTTAATCGAAGTTCCTTTTATGCCAATGTGTCGCATTTCCTACTACCCATATGATAAAGTTTATATGTTATGGGGAGGGAATGTAATCGAGCATTTTGCGGCACAGGAGCATGCATGGAAAGCTATAAAAAGATTTCTCTTGGAAAATGTATGAGATTCATCTTCTGAATTACAAACGTATCAATAAAACAGGAATTTTACAACTTGGGAAAGAAAAATTTAATTACCTACAGTTACTAGCTTCAAGAAAGAAATCTTAAAGAAAACAAATGATCGCATCAATCATATTCATTTTCATATAAAGACCAAGGTTTTCCAGATGAAGACTAGTGTTTTTCAGATAAAGCTAGGGCTTTTCAAATAAAGGCTAGGTATTTTCAGATTAAGACCATGTATTGTTCATTGTTAATATAAGCGCTATCCACAAGTTACTCAAAATTTCATGAAAAGTTGCCTGTAGAATATAAAGAAGTTGCTTAAAAGTTGCCTGTTTTTTGAATAAACTCTTGCTTATTCTCGATTACTTTAAAGCTATTTATAGAATTGATTTTCAAAAAAAGCAAACAAATTGATTAAAGTATAATATTATTGAGACATAATATTTAAATATGTTAGAATGCATCAACATCAGACTCGTACAAAATTTATTCATTCAAAAACAAACTGTGTCATATGCATACAACTGCTTAACATTACAGATGCCTCCACTGCTTCCTCCAAAACAGCTTGCTGTTCATTTAAAATGCGCTTTTCATGCCCCTGAAAAGCTTTCTCAGCTGGTGTAGAATTTGATCGTACAACCCATACCTTCTTTCCTGCGCTTTTCTATCTATCAAGAGTGCTTGCATTGCATCACTCTCCCACCATCTCAACTTTTCATCCTCAGCTTGAGTTCATGTACCCTGGGCCGTAGCTACAATCTTGACAAAAAATAGCTGAGACTTGTTATCGAAAAGTGAAGTCAAATGTCTTATCTTTATATTACATGCCACACCCCCTTCCCTCCGACGTCAATACGGACAATAACTGGGGATGAACGCGGGCTAAACTACTCTGACTAATAACAACATTGATGCGGGTCGGGGGGGACGGGGGCTATATAATTAGGAACTAGCTTAATTTTCTGCGAGTGTCTTAGCTTTTGCCAGCGCTGTAAGTTTACAGGAAGTTCTTCAGCAGATCCAGCAATAATATTATTACCATCATCATCCATGAAAGGGAAATTTTGAAACAGCTGCAAAGTGGGAGAATCTGAATCCAAGCCTGAAAAAGGCAAATAATTTCAAAACTTTATGCAAGACTTTGCGTGTGTTTATAGTTGATTCAAGTTCAAGTGGCAGTTGAGAGTTTTCAATTCAACATCTATTATAGTCATAGAGCTAGAGAACTTTAAATTTGCCTGCAGCCCAATGCCTGCACCCCCTCCCCCCTCTCCCCCGCCCACCCTTCCAACGTTAGAAACAATTTAATTTGGCCTCGATTTGACTTTTCTTGTGAACACCACAATATGGCGGGAGTAATCAAGTTCGTGCAAATGATATTGGATGCGAATGCAATCTGGGCTTTAAGGATCCCTGTGTGAAGTAAGTTTATTAAGTTTTTAAATATCTACAACGGCCAATGAGGTGTATACACCTCATTGACAACGGCTCATTTTCTTTCTTGTCTACTAAAATTTTCCAGTGTCGTTTTTTCTTCAAACTTCTAACTCCACAAATTAGGTACTTACATTTTTATTTTTTAGGATAGCATCCAGACGATCCAACCTAAGAATAGCAAATTCAAAACTTTTTAATAATTTCCCGTAAAAGACTCCTTTTCTTCCATCCTTAAAAATTGATTCTAGCTAAAAATGGCGAATATAGCCCAAAGAGTTTGGGGAAGGGGCTAGTAGGGGGCCAGCTTTAAGTCAGAGGGCCCAAAGTTATCTTTTCCTTTGTGTGTGGTTTAGTAGAATGTAAAGTTGTTCATAAGTTCAGAATACGAATTTATGTCTTTAGATAATTGTATCGGATAATCGGAGCCTTCTAACAAAGATATTACTTTCTTTGGAGTATATAAATGGAGCTTGGTGTGGGGCATACCCAGGGGCGTCGCGACCGGGGGTTGTAGGGGTGTCACACCCCCCTCCCCCCAATAGTATCTCAATAGGAAATTTCAGGTAAAACCCGCTCGGTGGAAGAAGCACTTTAGGTATTTTAGAGACCTTCATGTCACAAAATCAATAGAGGATCAAGCAAAGGTAGTTGCTCCGTTGGTTAAATATGATATTCCTTGATATGAATGAAGGTAAACAAACTAATGATTTGAAGCTTTGAAGATTTCTTGTTGGCACTAAATCGAAAAATCCAGGCCCTCTTTAGGTAAAATTGTGTCTTGTGTCCATTTCCCCTAAAGTTTTTCAGTAGAAGCGTCAACTGCAATTCACTATGAGCTCCAGATTTTTTTTAACATTCAAAAGGCATGCTAAGAAGGAAAGAGGGATCTAAATTGACAACCAGCGCTGCTTGTTACCTAGCTTCAGAGGTAACTGACAACATAGTATTTCTCAAGACCACGGCCTCAAGACAACATAGTATTTCATCTGCTGTTCAATTTGTTTGCAAAAAATATATTTTCAATAGGATTAGGAGGATTGCTTAAGTGAAATGTGCTTGTAAGAGTGCATTTTCCAGGGAACTAGAAGCATCAAAATTTTGAAAATTTCCTGCTCCTTCCGCGGCAACCATCGTGCCCCCTCGGGTAGTAACTATATGCAAAGGTTTGTGCACAGCAGCTGAAGAATTCAGGCAAAAATTTTTTAATCAAGTAAATTTGAAGTCGACACCCCCCCTCCCTACAAGGCTTGCCTCGTGACGCCCCTGGACCTACACAGTGTACCCCATACCAGGTGTAGTATCTTGAGATACTATTGAAAAAAAAGAGAATCAAATTTTGTTTAAACTTGCAGTAAAATCTTAATGTAGTTTGATGCGATGGTTATCATGCCTAGAGTCAAACTCATCAACAAACATTTCTAGATCTATTGAAATGAGGCAGGTCATTATTTTTGAAAACCTTTTGTCAAAAGAAGCATCACCTGCTTGCCAGACAACATTTACTGTTTCAGCAAGTAACCTCTTTAACCTGTGTCCATAGCAGTGTACTATTTTTTGTGAGAACCAATAAATTCAAGTTGAGGCTGACTATTTTTTGGAAAACCAGAGGCTGGATTGTCGTTAATTTGTGCTCAAATTAATAGGGTGTAAGCAGTGTGATTTTTAGCTTTTTCGCTCAAGGGAGGTGTTCAGGCCTCATTGGCCAACAAAGTGAGTGGGACAACCTTCATTTACCAAAAAGTTTGATTATTCATCAAAAAGCAATGTTTCATGTTACATTAATATTACGCTGTTTCAAGGTTGGCCACGCGAATAACAAGGATGAGTTATGAATCTGTTCTTTACCCGGTAGATTCGGCATTTTTTATGTTTACTCTCCATACTCAGTAATAGACAAAAATGAAAAATCAATGATAGTCGATGGTATTTATGATTCTTTTCATTTTCATTTCGATTCGATCCTCTTCGCACCTCGACACGTTAAACTTTTAACGATTCATTGGCAGACTCAAACAAGTGAGAACCAAATCCCAGATTACAATGTTTCAAGGTTGGCCACGCGAATAAGGAGAATGATTACCAGAAAATGAAATCATATGGAAAGCAAAGGTTATTGGCTATTCCCTTGGAGCTTTCAGAATGTACTCTTTCTTTTTCTCTATGAATGTTTGTCTTTATACTGTCAGGAGCATTTTTATTTTTCTTTCTTTTCTGATCCAAAGCCACACTCTTCTCTTTGTCTCGCCCCTGCTAGTTTCAGGGAAAGCAGAGGCTTAAGGATAGCCCTTCATAGCATTCGGAGTGTACTCTATCTTTTAATTCATGAATCTTTATCTTTATATGGCCCCTGCTTTAAAGTTTTGCCCCTGCTAGTTTCATCGACTCTTTATCAAATCATATGGAGAGCAGAGGTTTAAGGCAAGCCCTTCATATCATTCAGAATGTACTCTATCTTTTAATGTATGAATGTTTTTGGTGGTTTCAGTTCATTTCAGATGATTTCAGGTGCCAAGAAATTTGCGCATGCTCATAGCGGAATTTCAAACGTCTTTTTTGCGTTTCTGTGAGGACGGTTATATTTTTGAAAACGCTCATGGTGTTGATGCATATTCATTTGAATTTCAAACGGATAACAATAATTCCGTTCTTAAAAATATCCGGAACCGTGTGGATGTGGACTGGGTCTAAAGGCAAGTCATGGGCAATTCTTTACGTAGGGTTGATAAATTGAAAGTAAAAATTTTACCGACAATAACTGCACCGAAATGTCCAGTGCTCGTGGATCAAAGGATTCAGATTAAAGTGAAAAATTTGAGCCCATTTCAAAGTGTAACCTTGCGAGTTGAGCTCAATTCTGACAAATCAGAGCTTTTTGAATCATATGGACACTACATCGCAGACAAAGATGGAGAGCTGAATTTGTCACGAGATTCTTCTTTTGGAGGTACCTACAAAGGCATTGACAACATGGGTTTATTTTGGAGCATGTTAGCAGTACCAGGACAACGAAAAGGGGTCAGGTTTATTGCAGGAGATGTCACTAAACCGATGGAATTTAGGGTTTTCTTGTTTGACAGGCACGTTATGTCTCAAGGGAATGCAGATAGCCCGAAGCAAGCCGTGGAAAAGCTTCCTGAGCCTCTAGCAAAGACGAAAATTTTACGAACATATCTGGCTGATCATGTGGAACGCAAGGAGATAAGTGTTGGCCGCATAAGGGGGACGTTGTTTGTTCCAAAAAGAAGCAGAAAGTTACCAGGTACGTTTTCAATTTATACTTTTGACATCAGGCCAATATATGCGATGTAATGCTAAGGAATATAGATTGGACCGTCGCTAGCTTTTGTGCACATCCCATTTACCGATAAAGTAATAGAGCTATCCTTTATTTGCCGCCAGATCTTAAAATTTGATGACTAGACGAAGCAAAATGGCCTAAAAGTTTTTGTTTTTACAATAAAATGTTCTTCCAAGGGAGTTTCACACCCCCTCCACCATATCCCCCTTTAGCAATGGCCCTGATTATAGTTGTGGACAATGATAGTCCATAACATGGAATATAATGCTTCAAAGTTCAAATCATTTTGTCATATGGGTCCGTTTATGGATTCTTTTTATGTCCTCCCAAAGCCTTTGATAACGGTGACTAGAAGAATGCTTCGAAAAATCGGCCTGAGCGTTGGCCATGGCCATAAAAAATTTTAATCTTTCATTTCCCATAACAGGTGTCATTGACTTGTTTGGGATTCATGGGGATCTAATTGAGTCTAGGGCAGCCATTTTGGCATCTCATGGATTTGTCACGTTTGCATTAGCCTATTTTGGATACAAAGATCTGCCTAAAAGCCCAAACAACATTGATTTGGAGTATTTCATCGAAGCTCTAAAATGGTTTGCAAGTCATGAAAGGGTTTATTCATCTGGCATTGGATATATAGGTTCTTCAGCTGGCGGTCAGATTGCTTTGCAGATTGGCGCAGAGTATTCCCTGGTGAGGGCTGTTGTTGGTATTTCTACGGCTGACATTTTGGCAATTACACTTAAATACAAGGGGGAAGTTAGGGGCTTAGATGGGGGATTCAAACCGGAACATGCCCATATAAATGAAAAGAATGAAGTTGTTTCTATAGACATTGACAAACTGGACCCTGTTGAATTTCGAAACAGCAAGAATCCAGTTGAAAAAGTCGAAGGGAAGATCATGCTGGTCACAGGAGATGATGACATGTGTCCTAATATGTCTGATTGTGCAAGGAGAATGCAGAGGAGGCTAAATGAACATGGCAGAGAGTCTGCAACTATTCTTCATTATCCAGGCACCGGGCATTTAATCGAAGTTCCTTTTATGCCAATGTGTCGCATTGCTTACTATTCATATTATAAAGTTTATGTTTTATGGGGAGGGAATGTAATTGAGCATTCTTTGGCACAGCAGCATGCATGGAGAGCTATCAGAAGATTTCTCTTGGAAAATGTATGAGATTCATCTTCTGAATTACAATCGTATCAATAAAACTGGAATCTTACCACTTGGGAAATAAAAATTTAATTACCTACAGTTACTAGCTTCAAGAAAGAAATCTTAAAGAAAACAAATGATCGCATCAATCATATTCATTTTCATATAAAGATCAAGGTTTTCCAGATGAAGACTAGTGTTTTGCAGATAAAGCTAGGGCTTTTCAAATAAAGGCTAGGTGTTTTTCAGATTAAGACCATGTATTGTTCATTGTTAATATAAGCGCTATCCACAAGTTACTCAAAATTTCATGAAAAGTTGCCTGTCGAATATAAAGAAGTTGCTTAAAAGTTGCCTGTTTTTGAATAAACTCTTGCTCGATTACTTTAAAGCTATTCATAGAATTGATTTTCAAAAAAAGCAAATAAATTGTTTAAAGTATAATATTATTGAGACATAATATTTAAATATGTAAGAATGCATTAACATCAGACTCGTACAATGTTTATTAATTCAAAAACAAACTGTGTCAAAAGTAATGCAACTCTTTAACATTACAGATGCCTCTACTGCTTCCTCCAAAACAGCTTGCTCTTCATTTAAAATGCGCTTTTCATGCCCCTGAAAAGCTTTCTCAGCTGGTGTAGAATTTGATCGTACAACCCATACCTTCTTTACTGCGCTTATCCATCTATCAAGAGTGCTTGCATTGTATCACTCCCACCATCTCAACTTTTCATCCTCAGCTTGAGTTTATGTACCCTGGGCCGAGGCTACAAGCTTGACAAAAAATAGCTGAAACTTGTTACCGAAAAGTGAAGTCAAATGTCTTATCATTATATAAAGCGTGCTAAACTACTAATAACCACATTGAAAAGGGGGGGTGGGTAGGTGGGGGGTGGGTACGGGGGCTGTATAATTTGGAACTACCTTAATTTTCTGCGAGTGTCTCAGCTTTTTGCCAGGACTGTAAGTTTACAGGAAGTTCTTCAGCAGATCCAGGAATAATATTATTACCATCATCATCCATGAAAGGGAAATTTTGAAACAGCTGCAAAGTAGGAGAATCTGAATCCGAGCCTGAAAAGGGCAAATAATTTCAAAACTTTATGCAAGACTTTGCGTGTGTTTATAGTTGATTCAAGTTCAAGTGGGAGTTGAGAGTTTTCAATTCAACATCTATTATAGTCATAGAGCTAGAGAACTTTAAATTTGCCTGCAGCCCAATGCCTGCACCCCCTCCCCCTCTCCCCCGCCCACCCTTCCAACGTTAGAAACAATTTAATTTGGCCTCGATTTGACTTTTCTTGTGAACACCACAAAATGGCGGGAGTAATCAAGTTCGTGCAAATGATATTGGATGCGAATGCAATCTGGGCATTAAGGATCCCTGTGTGAAGTAAGTTTATTAAGTTTTTAAATATCTACAACGGCCAATGAGGTGTATACACCTCATTGACAACGGCTCATTTTGTTTCTTGTCTCCTAAAATTTTCCAGTGTCGTTCAAACTTCTAACTCCACAAATTAGGTACTTACATTTTTATTTTTTAGGATAGCATCCAAACGATCCAACCTAAGAATAGCTAAATTCAAAACTTTTTAATAATTTCCCGTGAAAGATTCCTTTTGTTCCATCCGTAATGATTGATTCTAGCTAAAAATGGCGAATTTAGCCTTAAAGGTTTAGGGGAGGGGCTAGTAGGGGGCCAGCTTTAAGTCAGAGGGCCCAAAGCTAACTTTTCCTTTCTGTGTGGTTTAGTAGAATGTAAAGTCGTTATAAGTTCAGAATACGAATTTATGTTTTTAGATAATTGTATCGGATAATCTGAGCCTAAGTTGGATCTAAAGAATAATAAAGAGGGATCTAAATTGACAACCATGTTGCTTGTTACCTAGCTTCAGAAGTAACTGACAACATGGTATTTCTCAAGACCACGGCGAAATTGTACCAGTTGTGTTAATCTGCTGTTCAATTTGTTTGTAAAAAAATTATTTTCAATAAGATTAGGAGGATTGCTTAAGTGAAATGTGCTTGAAAGAGTGCATTTGCCAGAAAAATAGAAGCATCAAAATTTCGAAAATTTCCTGCTCCTTCGGCGGCAACCATGGTGCCGCCTCGGGTAGTAACTATATCCTTTGTCTGTTCTGATATAGAGATTTGGCAAAACTACTAGGAAAATTCCGTTATTATCAAATTAAAAAGAAAGTTGCGAATTATATACAGAGCTAGATTGGCAAAATGCATTGCAGAGGTTTGTGCACAGCCAATAAAGAATTCAGGCAAACATTTTTAAATCAGTTGAATTGACGCCCCTGGACCTACCCAGTGTACCCCATACCAGGTGTAGTATCTTGAGATACTGTTTAGCAAAAAAGAGAATCAAATTTAGTTTAAACTTGCAGTAAAGTCTTAATGTAGTTTGATGCGATGGTTATCATGCCTAGAGTCAAACTCATCAACAAACATTTCTAGGTGGACTGAAATGAGGCAGGTCATTTTTGAAAACCTTTTTTTAAAAGAAGGATCACCTGCTTGCCAGACAACATTTACTGTTTCAGCAAGTAACCTCTTTGACCTGTGTCCATAGCAGTGTACTATTTTTTGTGAGAACTAATAAATTCAAGTTCAGGCTGACTATTTTTTGGAAAACCAGGGGCTGGATTGTCGTTAATTTGTGCTCAAATTAATAGGGTGTAAGCAGTGTAATTTTTAGTTTTTTCGCTCAAGGGAGGTGTTCAGGCCTCATTGGCCAACAAAGTGAGTGGGACAACCTTCATTTACCGACAAGTTTGAATATTCACCAAAAAGCAATGTTTCATACTACATTAATATTAAGATATTTCAAGGTTGGCCACGCGAATAACAAGGATGAGTTATGAATCTGTTCTTTACCCGGTAGATTCGGCATTTTTTATGTTTACTCTCCATACTCAGTAATGGACAAAAGTGAAAAATCAATGGTAGTCGATGGTATATCTGATCCTTTTCATTTTCATTTCGATTTGATCCTCTTCGCACCTCGACACGTTAAACTTTTAACGATTCATTGGCAGACTCAAACAAGTGAGAACCAAATCCCAGATTAGAATGTTTCAAGGTTGGCCACGCGAATAATAAGGATGATTACCAGAAAATGAAATCATATGGACAGCAAAGGTTATTGGCTATTCCCTTGGAGCTTTCAGAATGTACTCTTTCTTTTAATGTATGAATGTTTATCTTTATAAGATAAGGAGCTTTTTAATACCCTGAATTTTTCTGGTACAAAGCGAAACTCTTTTGCACGTTTCGTTTCTGCTAGTTTCATCGACTCTTTATATATTCATATGGAGAGCAGAGGCTTAAGGCTAGCCCTTGATAGCATTCAAAATGTACTTTATCTTTTAATGTATGAATGTTTTTGGTGGTTTCATTTCATTTCAGATGATTTCAGGTGCCAAGAAATTTGCGCATGCTCATAGCGGAATTTCAAACGTCTTTTTTGCGTTTCTCTGTGGACGGATGTATTTTTGAAAACGCTCATGGTGTTGATGCATATTCATTTCAATTTTCAAACGGATAACAGTAATTGCTTTCTCAAAAATATCCGAAACCGTGTGGATGTGGATTTGGTCTAACGGCAAGTGATGGGCAATCCTTTACGTAGGGTCGATAAATTGAAAGTAAGAATGTTACCGACAATAATTGCACCTAATTGTCCAGTGCTTGTGGATCAAAGGATTCAGATTAAAGTGAAAAATTTGAGCCCATTTCAAAGTGTAACCTTGCGAGTTGAGCTCAATTCTGATAAATCAGATCTTTTTGAATCATATGGACACTACATCGCAGACAGAGATGGCGAGCTGAATTTGTCACGAGATTCTTCTTTTGGAGGTACCTACAAAGGCATTGACAACATGGGTTTATTTTGGAGCATGTTAGCAGTACCAGGCCAACGAAAAGGGGCCAGGTTTATTGCAGGAGATGTTACTAAACCGATGGAATTTAGGGTTTTCTTGTTTGACAGGCACGTTATGTCTCAAGGGAATGCAGATAACCCGAAGCAAGCCGTGGAAAAGCTTCCTGAGCCTCTAGCAAAAACGAAAATTTTACGAACATATCTGGCTGATCATGTGGAACGCAAGGAGATAAGTGTTGGCCGCATAAGGGGGACATTGTTTGCTCCTAAAGGACGCAGAAAATTACCAGGTACGTTTTCATTTTATACTTTTGAAGTTAGGCCAATATATGCGATATTTTGACTGTTAATGCGCTGGAGTTTCTGTCAACTGCAAAGGAATATAGATTGGGTCGTCGCTAGCTTTTGTGCACATCCCATCACATCCCATTTACCGATAAATTACTAGAGCTATCATTTTTTCCGCCATATCTTAAAATTTGTTGACTAGACGGAGCAAAATGGCCTAAAAGTTTTTGTTTTTACAATAAAATGTTCTTCCAAGGGGGTTTCACACCCCCTCCACCATAACCCCCTTTAGCAATGGCCCTGATTATAGTTGTGGACAATGATAGACCATAACATGGAATATAATGCTTCAAAGTTCAAATCATTTTGTCATATGGGTCCGTTTATGGATTTTTTAATGTCCTCCCAAAGCCTTTGCTAACGGTGACTAGAAGAATGCTTCGATATATCAGCCTGAGCGTTGGCCATGGCCATAAAAACTTCAATTTTTCTTTTGCCATGACAGGTGTCATTGACATGTTTGGGATTTATGGGGATCTGATTGAGTCTAGGGCAGCCATTTTGGCATCTCATGGATTTGTCACGTTTGCATTAGCCTATTTTGGATACAAAGATCTGCCTAAAAGCCCAAACAACATTGATTTGGAGTATTTCATCGAGGCTGTTAAATGGTTTGCAAGTCATGAAAGGGTTTATTCATCTGGCATTGGATATATAGGTTCTTCATCTGGCAGTCAGATTGCTTTGCAGATTGGCGCAGAATGTCCCTTGGTGAAAGCTGTTGTTGGTATTTCTGCGGCTAACATCATGATTATTCCACTTAAATATAAGGGGAAAGTGATTAGTGGCCTGGTTGGGTCATTCAAACGGGAGCATTACCATATAAATGAAAAGAATGAAGCTGTTTCTATCGACTCTGACTCTGTTGAACTTCACAAAATTGAGATTCAAGTTGAAAAAATCGAAGGGAAGATCATGCTAATAACGGGGAAAGATGACGTGTTTGCCAATCCGTCAGAATGTGCAAGAATAATTCAGGGGAGGCTTAATGAACACGGCAGGAAGCCTGCAACTGTTCTTCGTTATCCTGGCACAGGGCATTTAATTAATGTTCCTTTTATGCCAACGTGTCGTATTGCTTACTATTCATATTATAAAGTTTATGTTTTATGGGGAGGGAATGTAATTGAGCATTCTGCGGCACAGGAGCATGCATGGACAGCTATAAAAAGATTTCTCTTGGAAAATGTTCAAAATGTATCTAGTAAATTATGATTATTATTCATCTTCTGAATTACAATCGTATCAATAAAACAGGAATTTTACAACTTGGGAAATAAAAATTTAATTACCTAATATTTTTCTTATTTTGTGTGTAACGACTGAGTTTCGGAGTATGGTTAGTGTTTTTCATATAAAGACCAAGGTTTTTTAGATGAAGACTAAGGTTTTTAAATAAAGGCTAGGTATTTTCAAATAAAGGCTAGGTATTTTCAGATTAAGACCTTGTATTGTTCATTGTTAATATAAGCGCTATCCACAAGTTACTCAAAATTTCATGAAAAGTTGGCCATAGATTATAAAGAGGTTGCTTAAAAGTTGCCTGTTTTTTAATAAACTCTTGCTCGATCACTTTAAAACTCTTCATAGAATGAATTTTCAAAAAAAGCAAAAAAACTGTTTAAAACATCATATAAAGACAAAATATTTTAATATGTAAGAATGCATCAACAACAGACTCGTACAATATTTATTAATTCAAAAAGAAACTGTGTCAAAAGCATGCAACTCTTTAACATTACAGATGCCTCTACTGCTTCCTCCAAAACAGCTTGCTCTTCATTTAAAATGCGCTTTTCATGCCCCTGAAAAGCTTTCTCAGCTGGTGTAGAATTTGAACGCACAACCCATACCTTCTTTCCTGCGCTTTTCCATCTATCAAGAGTGCTTGCATTGCATCACTTTCCCACCATCTCAACTTTTCATCCTCAGCTTGAGTTTATGTACCCTGGGCCGAAGCTAAAATCTTGACAAATAATAGCTGAAACTTGTTATCGAAAAGTGAAGTCAAATGTCTTATCTTTATATAACATGCCACACCCCCTTCCCTCCGACGTCAATACGGACAATAACTGGGGATGAACGCGGGCTAAACTACTCTGACTAATAGCAACATTGATGCGGGTGGGGGGGGGGGACGGGGGCTGTATAATTTGGAACTACCTTAATTTTCTGGGAGTGTCTTAGCTTTTTGCCAGGACTGTAGGTTTACAGGAGGTTCTTCAGCAGATCCAGCAATATTATTATTACCATCATCATCCATGAAAGGGAAATTTTGAAACAGCTGCAAAGTGGGAGAATCTAACTCCGAGCCTGAAAAGGGCAAATAATTTCAAAACTTTATGCATGACTTTGCGTGTGTTTATAGTTGATTCAAGGTCAAGTGGCAGTTGAGAGTTTTCAATTCAACATCTATTATAGTCATAGAGCTAGAGAACTTCAAATTTGCCTGCAGCCCAATGCCTGCACCCCCTCCCCCTCTCCCCGGCCCACCCTTCCAACGTTAGAAACAATTTAATTTGGCCTCGATTTGACTTTTCTTGTGAACACCACAAAATGGCGGGAGTAATCAAGTTCGTGCAAATGATATTGGATGCGAATGCAATCTGGGCATTAAGGATCCCTGTGTAAAGTAAGTTTATTAAGTTTTTAAATATCTACAACGGCCAATGAGGTGTATACACCTCATTGACAACGGCTCATTTTGTTTCTTGTCTCCTAAAATTTTCCAGTGTCGTTTTTCCTTCAAACTTCTAACTCCACAAATTAGGTACTTACATTTTTATTTTTTAGGATAGCATCCAAACGATCCAACCTAAGAATAGCTAAATTCAAATCTTTTTAATAATTTCCCGTGAAAGATTCCTTTTGTTCCATCCGTAATGATTGATTCTAGCTAAAAATGGCGAATTTAGCCTTAAAGGTTTAGGGGAGGGGCTAGTAGGGGGCCAGCTTTAAGTCAGAGGGCCCAAAGCTAACTTTTCCTTTGTGTGTGGTTTAGTAGAATGTAAAGTCGTTATAAGTTCAGAATACGAATTTATGTTTTTAGATAATTGTATCGGATAATCTGAGCCTTCTAACAAAGATATTACTTTCTTTGGAGTATATCAATGGAGCTTGGTGTGGGGCCTACCCAGTGTACCCCACACCAGGTTTAGTATCTTGAGATACTATTTAACAAAAAGAGAATCAAATTTAGCTCAAATTTGCAGTTAAGTCTTAATGTAGTTTGATGCGATGGTTATCATGCCTAGAGTCAAACTCATCAACAAACATTTCTAGGTGGACTGAAATGAGGCAGGTCTTTATTTTTGAAAACCTTTTTTCAAAAGAAGCATCACCTGCTTGCCAGACAACATTTACTGTTTCAGCAAGTAACCTCTTTAACCTGTGTCCATAGCAGTGTACTATTTTTTGTGAGAACCAATAAATTTAAGTTCAGGCTGACTATTTTTTGGAAAACCAGAGGCTGGATTTTCGTTAATTTGTGCTCAAATTAATAGGGTGTAAGCAGTGTGATTTTTAACTTTTTCGCTCTAGGGAGGTGTTCAGGCCTAATTGGCCAACAAAGTGAGTCAGACAACCTTCATTTACCAACAAGTTTAAATATTCACCAAAAAAGCACCCACACATGGCTAAAAATCCACTTTTTTCAGATAAAACATTGTTCAAAATTGCATTTCGCTGTAGCTCAGCCCCAGCTTGTTCCTAATTTGTTCTTAACTTTTGAGCATTTTTGAGGCTCATGTTCTTCTAAAATTTTCTTATAAAAAAATGTGATACATCGTTGGCTGGCTGCAATAAATTTTTGGTGACTGCATTATGTTGATTTAATTTTTTGCTTTTTTCCACTGCTGTTTTCTTGTGACTTCATCATCATTAACCGAGTTCTCATTTGCCTATCCATCACTTAAAAAACTATCCATTCTAAATTCTGAAAACTATGAAGAGAACTCTGTGTTTAAAAAACTTGATGAAGTGCTGTCTGCTGTCATAATCCTGACAGTAAGAATAAATTGAGTCAAAATGGTGTGTTAGATGGTCACTATGTAAAGAAATCAAAATTGAATTACATTTTAACAAGACAAAACAGCCCCTGATTACAAGCCAAAATGCTTTTAAATTGCGTAGCTTGTTAAATAGACGAAATAAAGCATTGAATGCAATAAATACCGTATAAAACAAGTAGTGAAGAGGTACTCTGTCAAAGGCAAATAAAGATTTCACAGCTATTAAAGAAAACCTTAATTTTTAAGGTAACTTTGAGGGGTTAAGCAATGGGCCCACTAAGTATTCTGGAGGGGGCATGGCCCCCTTAGGCCCCCTATAGAAAAGGTTGGGGATATGATTTTTTTGAACAATGAGGTAAAATTTTAGCCCTTTAATTACAAGTCAAAGTTGACTACAGTTCAAAAAAGTAGAGGTTCAAGTTGAAATAGAAAGTTATCTTTTGTAATTCATGTACATACATACAGATTAGCATTTTTGGAGCAATTTATCAGAAAACTTCATGGTGTAGCACGAAGCCCTGACTGTTAACTTTGATGAACATGACAAAGTATAATGCTTTTTTAAAGCAATGATTGTAGAAAATTTTTATTTTTGTTGATAAATAAAAACAACCCATTCATCAACATAATTACTTTGGGATATTTTCAACACTATGAGGGCTACTTTTGTAAGCTTCCAAGAGTGTTGCTACAGAAGGGGGGTTTGACACCCCCACTAAACTCATGAATTGGCTCTTCACTCAGCAGATTCAGCATTATTTACTGCTTACTTGAAAAACTTGGTGTTCATCTTAAATGATCATTTTTATTTGGATTTGGCCGGTTTTGCTTCTCAGCACATTTATATTTTAACCATTAGTTGCGAAACTAAAGCCAGTGAGAGCCAAACAGGGCCACTTCTGGCCATTTGATTTCGTGTGAGTTTTTTCTTGCATGCATCATTAAAACAAGGATAGTAATGGATATGGAATTACCTAATAGCTATTTTTGACCACTTTCCAAAAATTTCTGCATATGGCTTTGCCTTTCTGTGTCTATTTACTATGATATTTTTTATTCTGATCTTGCTTTAGACTGCTATTTCATCAAAGTCAATAGATGATATACAGTACGATACTTTGAGGTTCGGAAAAGTCAGAGGTTTTTTAAAAGATTAGCTGAGTTTCAATATGATTAAAAAGTTAAAAATTCTATATACCCTGCACAAATACAACAGTATTTGCCTTAAATTACCTTTATAAAGAAACAGGCAGGTTCCGTAAGGTATTCTTATCATGTCTCTGGCCTCAACATTTTTCATTTCATTGTTTATTTGAAATTCAACATACAAGCAAATCTAAGCATACAAATAGAATTGTGCAAATGATGGTTGCAAGTCTAACTATAAATACAAAAGTAGCAAATGTTAACTAGAATATTTACAAAGAAAGTTCTGTCTAATTCGTACATGCTAGAATTTCTTAAAGGAGGACCTCCCCTAGTAGTTCCAAAACTTGTAAACAATGTAGTTCTCCAAAACTAGCAAAAAAGAGCACCCCCCTTAAACTCAGAACATGTATTTTACACCTCAAAATAGAATATTTTTAATTGAATGATTCAAAGGAAAGTTGAATGTAATTTTTTCAGATCCTTTGAATGAAAATGTAGATGGACAATCTGCTATTTCTTCTGGAAGATCTTTTCACATGTTTGCCCCATGATAGCAAATTGACTTCAAACCATATTGTAGCCTTTTCTATCGGTCAAGAGTACATACTAGCAATGTAATTGTTTTATTTAGTGCCCAGCAATACATGAGATCAAAGAAATCATTGCTTCCATCCTTAGCCTTATTCTAAATATGTTGTGGGATTACAGCACAAGACAGCTGCTGAAATACAAGAAAATTTTCCTTGTTTAATACAAGAAACATTGTTTACAGTGACTTTGAGAACTTGGCAAATTACCATATTCATAAAATTTTGCAAGAGATTTTCAAAAAGTTTTATTGAACAAATTATTTCAAGTGAAGATTAACCATTTTTTAAAAAATTCCTGAAAGCAGGAGAAGTTATTAAAAAATTAAGTTTAAAATCAGGAGAACAAGAGATTATGTTTGAAATCAGAAGAATGGGAGATAACTTTGAAATCAGGAATTTTAGGAGAACAGGAGATTGTGCTTAAAATCAAAAGAATAGGAGATAACTTTGAAATCAGAAATTTTTTTAATAGACTTTCAATTTTAATTTAAAACGGTTTGTTTAAAGAAAGTATAAAAAACTCTCTTACGCAATGTTATGAATTTGGTATTTTGCCAAGTCCTTAAAGAAGAAGAACCCTACTTCACAGAGGCAGGGTTTGCGCTACGGGGACTGTGGGGGGGGGATGACAACCACCCGAGAGTTATGAATCTGTTCTTTACCCGGCAGATTCGGCATGTTTACTCTCCATACTCAGTAATGGACAAAAATGAAAAATCAATGGTAGTCGATGGTATTTCTGATTCTTTTCATTTTCATTTCGATTTGATCCTCTTCGCACCTTAACACGTTAAACTTTTAACGATTCATTGGCAAACTCAAAAAAGTGAGAACCAAATCCCAGATTACAATGTTTCAAGGTTGGCCACTCGAATAATAAGAATGATTACCAGAAAATGAAATCATATGGACAAAACTTATTGACTATTCCCTTGAAGCTTTCAGAATGTACTCTATCTTTTTATCTATGAATGTTTGTCTTTATACTCACAGAAGCAATTTTTATTTTTCTTTCTTTTCTGATCAGAAGCTACACTCTTTTCTTTCACTCGCTCCTGCTAGTTTCGTCGACTTTCTATCAAATCATGTGAAGAGCAGAGATTTTAGGCTAGCCCTTCAAAGCATTCAGAATGTACCCTATCTTTTAATATCTGAATCTTTATCTTGATAAGATAAGGAGCTTTTTAATTGCTTCAAATTTTTCTAATACAAAGCAACACTTTTGTTGTACGTCTCGCCTCTGCTATTTTCGTCGACTTTCTATCAAATCTTTTGAACAGCAGAGGTTTTAGGCTATCCCTTCATTGCATTCAGAATGTACTCTATCTTTTAATTTATGAATCTTTATCTTTATATGGTAAGGAGCTTTTTAATTGCTTCAAGTTTTTCTGATAGAAAGCTACACTTTTTTGTAAGTTTCGCCCCTGCTAGTTTCGTCGACTTTCTATCGAATCATATGGAGAGCAGAGGTTTTAGGCTATCCCTTCATTGCATTCAGAATGTACTCTATCTTTTAATTTATGAATCTTTATCTTTATATGGTAAGGAGCTTTTTAATTGCTTCAAGTTTTTCTGATAGAAAGCTACACTTTTTTGTAAGTTTCGCCCCTGCTAGTTTCGTCGACTTTCTAACAAATCATATGGAGAGCAGAGGTTTTAGGCTATCCCTTCATTGCATTCAAAATGTACTCTATCTTTTAATTTATGAATCGTTATCTTTATATGGTAAGGAGCTTTTTAAATTCCTTCAAGTTTTTCTTATAGAAAGCTACACTTTTTTGTAAGTTTCGCCCCTGCTAGTTTCGTCGACTTTCTATCAAATCATATGGAGAGCAGAGGTTTTAGGCCAGCCCTTCATTGCATTCAGAATGTACTCTATCTTTTAATTTGTGAATCTTTATCTTTATATGGTAAGAAGCTTTTTAATTCCTTCAAATTTTTCTGATAGAAAGCAAAACTCTTTTGCATGTTTCGTCCTTGCTAGTTTCGTTGACTTTCTATCAAATCATATGGAGAGCAGAGGCTTAAGGCTAGCCCTTCATTGCATTCAGAATGTACTCTATCTTTTAATTTATGAATCTTTATCTATATATGGTAAGGACCTTTTTAATTGCTTCAAGTTTTTCTGATAGAAAGCTACACTTTTTTGTAAGTTTCGCCCCTGCTAGTTTCTTCGACTTTCTATCAAATCATATGGAGAGCAGAGGCTTAAAACTAGCCCTTCTTTGCATTCAGAATGTACTCTATCTTTTAATTTATGAATCTTTTTCTTTATATGGTAAGGAGCTTTTTATTCCTTCAAATTTTTCTGATAGAAAGCTACACTTTTTTGTAAGTTTCGCCCCTGCTAGTTTTGTCGACTTTCTATCAAATCATATGGAGAGCAGAGGTTTTAGGCTATCCCTTCATTGCATTCAGAATGTACTCTATCTTTCAATTTATGGATCTTTATTTTTATAGGATAAGGAGCTTTTTAATTGCTTCAAGTTTTTCTGATAGAAAGCTACACTTTTTTGTAAGTTTCGCCCCTGCTAGTTTCGTCGACTTTCTATAGAATCATATGGAGAGCAGAGGTTTTAGGCTATCCCTTCATTGCATTCAGAATGTACTCTATCTTTTAATTTATGAATCGTTTTCTTTATATGGTAAGGAGCTTTTTAATTGCTTCAAGTTTTTCTGATAGAAAGCTACACTTTTTTGTAAGTTTCCCCCCTGCTAGTTTCGTCGACTTTCTATCAAATCATATGGAGAGCAGAGGTTTTAGGCTATCCCTTCATTGCATTCAGAATGTACTCTATCTTTTAATTTATGAATCTTTATCTTTATATGGTAAGGACCTTTTTAATTGCTTCAAGTTTTTCTGATAGAAAGCTACACTTTTTTGTAAGTTTCGCCCCTGCTAGTTTCTTCGACTTTCTATCAAATCTTTTGAACAGCAGAGGTTTAAGGCTAGCCCTTCAAAGCATTCAGAATGTACCCTATCTTTTAATATCTGAATCTTTATCTTTATAAGATAAGGAGCTTTTTAATTGCTTTAAATTGTTCTGATAGAAAGCTACACTTTTTTGTAAGTTTCGCCCCTGCTAGTTTCGTCGACTTTCTATCAAAGCATATGGAGAGCAGAGGTTTTAGGCCAGCCCTTCATTGCATTCAGATTGTACCCTATCTTTTAATTTGTGAATCTTTATCTTTATATGGTAAGGAGCTTTTTAATTGCTTCAAGTTTTTCTGATAGAAAGCTACACTTTTTTGTAAGTTTCGCCCCTGCTAGTTTCGTCGACTTTCTATCAAATCATATGAAGAGCAGAGGTTTTAGGCCAGCCCTTCATTGCATTCAGATTGTACCCTATCTTTTAATTTGTGAATCTTTATATGGTAAGGAGCTTTTTAATTGCTTAAAGTTTTTCTGATAGAAAGCTACACTTTTTTGTAAGTTTCGCCCCTGCTAGTTTCGTCGACTTTCTATCAAATCATATGGAGAGCAGAGGTTTTAGGCTATCCCTTCATTGCATTCAGAATGTACTCTATCTTTTGATTTATGAATCTTTTTCTTTATATGGTAAGGAGCTTTTTATTCCTTCAAATTTTTCTGATAGAAAGCTACACTTTTTTGTAAGTTTTGCCCCTTTTAATTTCGTCGACTTTCTAACAAATCATATAGAGAGCAGAGGTTTTAGGCTATCCCTTCATTGCATTCAGAATGTACTCTATCTTTTAATTTATGAATCTTTATCTTTATATGGTAAGGACCTTTTTAATTGCTTCAAGTTTTTCTGATAGAAAGCTACACTTTTTTGTAAGTTTCGCCCCTGCTAGTTTCGTCGACTTTCTATAGAATCATATGGAGAGCAGAGGTTTTAGGCTATCCCTTCATTGCATTCAGATTGTACTCTATCTTTTAATTTATGAATTATTATCTTTATATGGTAAGGACCTTTTTAATTGCTTCAAGTTTTTCTGATATAAAGCTACACTTTTTTGTAAGTTTCGCCCCTGCTAGTTTCGTCGACTTTCTATCAAATCATATGGAGAGCAGAGGTTTTAGGCTATCCCTTCATTGCATTCAGAATGTACTCTATCTTTTAATTTATGAATTATTATCTTTATATGGTAAGGACCTTTTTAATTGCTTCAAGTTTTTCTGATAGAAAGCTACACTTTTTTGTAAGTTTCGCCCTTGCTAGTTTCTTCGACTTTCTATCAAATCATATGGAGAGCAGAGGTTTTAGGCTATCCCTTCATTGCATTCAGATTGTACTCTATCTTTTAATTTATGAATCTTTATCTTTATATGGTAAGGACCTTTTTAATTGCTTCAAGTTTTTCTGATAGAAAGCTACACTTTTTTGTTAGTTTCGCCC